CTAAGTTAACTTTCAAAAAGGAGAGAAAACTAAAACAGACCTAAACTTAATTATACACAAGGGGAGGGTTGCCAATGTTCAACCCAGAAATTCCCAAAATGCCTAACCGGCATCAAAATGCCACTAAGTCAGCACCTTTCATTCTGCCGAGACGCGCAAGACGCACTCATTCCTAAAGAACAAGATCAGTTGGGAAGATGTAAACTTCTCGTCCCCATGAAATTCCTTCTGTCGCGTCGTCCATATCACGACTCGCATAACCCTCCAGCAAGCAAAGGAACACATAGTGCTCGGCCGTAATCAACAGCGGTACCATATTGCTACAGACCGAACTGGCCTCGAGGACAAAAAGCTTTCCGCGCAGCATGCGAACCATGTCTTCAACAAACTTGCACAACGGTGAATTTCCAGTAGCCAGCCATCTTATTATCTAAGTTTACCCGAATGCGGACAAGCCTATGATACGAGCAACTATAAAATGGAAATTTGGACATTCTAAGAGCCCTAATTCGACTCTCTTAACTAGAACTCGCTCGGTGTAGCTTGCGCTCACCACCGAATCCGCGCTGCCGCCCCTAGACCAAGTCCATACTACCTCCTGGGGGTGCTCATTTCGATATTTATCGATGAGATAAAACCCGTCGATAAAGTCTCGAAACGGTTTCACATCCGGATTGTTAGTACCCGGTTTTTGCCCTATACAATCTATATCGGGATCAAGGACGGCATTCCAATCACCCGCTAGAACTACCGAACGAGATGTCATCAAAAACAGCTCGATCTGCCGAAGAAAAACAGGCCGCTGCGCAGAGTCATTGGGCGCATAAACCCCAATGAGACGGAGAGCCTTATCCTTTATGGTAATATCCAGCACGCAAAGCCTCCCGCCGGATCAGCAAAGACAAAGAGCACACGTCGTATCCAGAGACTTGCTTACCAGCCAGGAAACACCGTTCGAGCGTCCATCAAAACATGCTGAATAGAGGACGAATCTCTTAGAATGTCCTCATAGTCGCGAGATAAAAATGGGTCTCCTGTATGCAACATACATCCACTCCGAGGCGCTGAAGATCGCGATCAAGTCTCGCCCTTCGAGACTCCGATCTCAGGCCCCGGACATTCAAACTCGCTAACTAGAGTGCCATTATCAAACCTAATTAGGGTTTGAACATGGTCGGGGTAATGATACCGACAGCCTCTCCCATAGACCTATAGCCCATCTCAGTGTTGATGGTACCGTCTTGAGAGATTCCGCCGATATCCCAGGGGAATGTCAATTTAAGAGCTCTATAGACGAAGGGGTGAACTAAAACTGGGACCCTCCCTGCACAAAATTGTTTTAAATGCTTGAGCTGCTTATTTTGAACAATAGCTATAGGCAACGACAACCTGTATGATCCGATTGCCTCGTCTAACATTGTCCATGCTTGTTTGGCACCAGTCCCAGTTCTGATGACCATGAGAACTCTGGGCATGCGAGAAATTTAAAATTCTCCACATCTAAATTCGCATACTGCCTGAAGGAAAGCAGGTACTTCAGGTCCTTAATGCGGTTCCCATAGTCTTTTGCTCGCTCGGCTTGTGCAGGTGAGATATGACACACATTCTCCCCGAGTTGTATATATGCTGTTGCGTTTTTTGCGCTTGTCTTTAAGCTCCTGAGTGGGGCTTCTTTGCCTTTTGGAAGGAGGAGGGGACATTTTAACATTTTTAGCGGGGGAAGGACTGAAGCCTCCGTAGACTTAGTAGTATTTTTTAAAGCTTGGACGATTTCCTCATTTGAAGGTGTGAAGAGGGGTGTAGGTGGATCTTTGTTTAATTGGGGAAGGCTGGGTGTATGAAGAGTGGTACAGGATGATCTTTTTTTAACGGGGGAGGTACTGGGAGTATGAAGAGGGTGTAGCCGGATTTTTGTCGGTAAGGGCTGGGATTTCTGCTGAGGGGAACTGCTTGGGGCTTCATGGGACTGAGGACCCGCTTCCCTCTGACCTTACCAACAATTCCCCCTCCCCTTTTCCACAACTGCACTAGCAGCATGCGAAGGCTCTTTTAGGAATGTGGCCTTAGATGTTGAGCCAACCAGAAGTTGGCATGCCCATTACAGGCGAGGCAGTAGGTAAAAACGCGGACAGAGGGGGATTTTGGTCAACTGGATCTGGACTTCCAGAGGCCTCTCCTCTGGGCAGAAAGAGGAGAGGTGACCAGTCTCTCTGCACTTCCAACATACCAGTTTGCGGCCAGTCACAATGACCGGCAGCCTCAAGCTCCCTACTTCCAGACATTTGGGGATGGAGAGGAAGGCCTTTCGGTCTAACAATACTTCGAAACTCCATCCCCGTTCAGGCTATCGCAGGAAGCGCCTAATATCTCGCCATACTGCGATAGGAAAGCAGCCAGGTGTTCCCCGATAACTTGAGGTGGGACCTCGTATATTGCCACATGGTCCTTCTTCGGCCTTCATAATCTGTGCGTAATATTAAATCTTTGGTTATCAAGTCACGACTTGAAGCAGCAATATCGTCTTCCGGTGTGGGTAGCAATACGTCCCACATGAAATAGCCAGCTTCTTTAACAATTCTAAGGGGCTTGAACCACAAGGACTCCGTGATTTTATCACTGTGTCTTTCGTTGAGCAACAAATTTTGCATGAACTCTTGTCCACGATGAAGACCAACACTATTCTTTTTTCAATCTTTCTTAATTCTTGGGGGTCTTCCAAAAGTCCACCTTCTACAACAAGGTGAGCGTAACTCTTAACTCTGCAATATTGATAATACAATTAGGAGGGAACTTCCAACAATAGGGCGATTCCTCGGCCTCTGCATTCTCACTTGACTTGTCTTTATCTTGGCCATTATTCGCTTCTACATTTTGGCTCTTATCAGCCTCCGTAGACTTAGTAGCATTTTTTAAAGCTTAGACAATTTCCTCATTTGAAGGTACACTTGGTAAAACTGGGTAATCCTCAGGGTCATCCTTATCCAGTGGATGTTTTTTTTACATAATACGACAGTTCCAAACAAACGTTATACAAAACAATAAATTACACAAATTAAGAAAAATATAAAGAAAACACTTTAAACAATCTTTTTTATACTAAATATAAAAGTAAAACAAGTTACAGACACGAATATGCAACAGTACATAATAACACAAAACAAAAAAAACAAGATGTCCTCTAAAAAATAAAGGCTTGCCAATAAAAAAAAAAAGACAAGTTACAGACACAAATACGAAACAATACGTATTAACTAAACAAAATCAAGATGGCTGCTAAAAAATAAAGGCTTGCCAATAAACAAAATATGAATATAGAAAACAGACAGGTTAGACTAAATAAACATAAACAGTTAAGACAAATATGAACACAGAAAAATTAAACAATTAAAACACAGAACACTTAACAGTTATTAAAAAAGGAAAAAAAAGAACGAATTAACACATAACAAATAACACGTAGTAAATGAACAAAGAAAAAATAAAGTCTGACACCAACAGAAATATTAACACGTAGAAAAATAAACAGATAAACTCTGGGAGTGGGGTATAGAAAATAAAAAAACAAAAAATAATAACTAAAAAGGAAACTTTAACGTAAAAATCAAAACTAATAATAGAATAAATACAAAATAAAAGGACAAATAAAAATGACAATGTAATAAACTGAAAAGGAAATGAAGTTAAAAAAATCAAAGAAAGTTTTAAAATAATAGTCAGGAAAACAGAACATTAGGTAAAATAAATCAAAACTTAACTAAAACGGACTTTGCAGAAAAAAGTAAATTCCAAGAGTGGCAATAAATATGGTCTTGTCAGGTCTAATAAGGACTAACCAAGACAATAGGCATAGTCCATGTAATTCCACATCAGTCTATATTTATGGCTGACACCAGCCAATCATATTACTGTGAGGAGGAACCCAGGTGTATGCATATTCATTACATCACTCCCATTGTTCTTCTTATATACTCTCTTGCATTCTATCTCTATTTTACATTCTTCACTAAAATTTATTTTTTCACTCTCCAGTATCCCACTTTAAATATTCTTTTGACCACTTCAGTATTGTATTTTGACGTTTTTGACTAATAATTCTTTTGCTATACATCTGTTCAATTTTTTTTAATACTCTGTGTACTGTATCAACTAACTGAATTTGCTCCTGAGTTGTCTGGCTATTAATTTTGGATTGCACACAAGATTCTCACAATCTTTCTTTCATCTCTCTTGCCTAACTTTTATGATATTCCAGTTTTCTTTGCATCTAAAACTCATCCAGTAATAGCAAACATGTTTTAGATGGTTTGATCGCCATTCTAACCATTCCTAGCTGCCTGGATTTTTCTCATGGAGTCATCTTCCTCTTTAAATTCACGTTTATATTTACTTCAGTAAAAATTTTGGCCATGATTTTATCATAAAAAAAGAACAAGCTAATGTTAAACTATGTTTCTGACTACAAGAGTACCAGACTGTTTTACTTACACTCCAGATGCAGTTTAAAAGACTGGTCTTAAAAAAGTAAACCATACTCATAATTTGTTTATTCTTTTGTCATATTTTTGTGGACCAATCCTTGGTCGCAAAGCCAATTAAACCTCTTGTGCTTCAAGCAATTTGAAAGTAGAATTTACCACCACAGACCATTTTTCACATCTAAGTAATTTGTACCTTTTGAGAATTTTATCATTACTATTCACTTGCTAATAGTAGGAAATTATCACCTTCAAATTAACAATCTGGAATTTCCATATCAAACATCATTATCATACCTCAAGCTTGTACACACACTTCACTTGTGGAACACTGATAGAATGCCAATTTTTGTCCAATAAGGATAAAAACCTTTTGCAAATAAAATAAGTAGTTTTGTATGTGTGTGAAAATTTTATTTCAACTCTGATGTGAATCATTTGAAAGTTCTATTAATATAAAAAATAACATTTTCAATACAAAAAGTGTAATTCAGCAAGGGAAAGGACATGTTAAGTATATATGTCTTAAAACTTATACATACATAGATAGATAGATAGATAGATAGATATAAACCTTGAGGTAACAGTATGAAAATTATGAATTTGAACATAACTTGAAAAATGTCAATTATCTCAAAGACACCAATTATGTTAAAGAAAATAATATTTTTTTGTATAGAGCAAAATTCTGAATTAAATGCTCTAGAGAATATGCACTTTTTTTTTACATTCAGAAGTTATGTAAAAATCTTTCAAAACAAACTCAAGCATTTGAATATAGAGGCAGAGCACAATAACAATTTTTATATCATGAAATTGAAGGTTTTAAATTCTTCAGAGAGACTGAAATTTTAACAGATTCTCTAGGCGACTTAATTGAATTATTCATAGAATTATACAGTATAGACAATTTTTACAAATCTTAATTTTATAAATATATAAAATAAATCCAGTTCAATGCAATGCAGTTCAATGCAAAATAAGAAGCTTTTGTAAAGAAAACATCAGCAATCATTAAACATCAAATTTCAATTTTCATATAATTTCATTAATTTCCTATATCAGGAGTAAAATTCCAATTTAATTCTAATTTTTTTAAGTTTTTTATAAAAATTTCAGAAATATGCCATTTTAATTTAAAATCTTTATTTCAAAATTAAATTAAAAAGTAAAATATAATTTTTTACTCAAATTGTTTAAAAGCAATTATACTACATTTTTTATTACATTCAACTTTCCATTTAAGACAAATTTCCATTTATAATATCTAATATGAACTGTTTTTTATTATCAGTTTTTTAGCATTTTAAAACTGTTGATCTCAGACTTTTATCAATAAAAAATTCCACTACAAAGTTTTCTGTTTTAAGCTTTTGCATCAAATCATTGATGTACTTCTGTCGATAGAGTTGTTCTGTTGAGAATTCTCTCACAATAATGTACTTTATCTACAAAAGAGAGAAAACAAAAATTACTTTAAAAAGAATCAAGAAAAAATTCAAACTGAAAAAAATATTCGACCATTATTCTATGTCTAAACAGAAAAGAAGATTGACTCTTTATATATTTTCTATTTTGAAAATTTGTTGCATAAATTTAATAATATATAAATAATAAAATGAAGAAAATGGATTCATATGATTGCATAACACATTGTTCCTTTATTGCAAGTCATTCAAAAATAATTGAAACTTAATAAATATGAAAAAAATGTTTGAGTTTTGTCAGAAAATTTTCTTTAAAAACATCAAATAACTATAGTGAATGAGTTCTTTGCATTTTCAGATTTGGTAACCTATCTGCATGTGTACAGGACATAATATTACAAATTACAGATTTAGATGACCTAATATAACAAATTATGAATTCAGTAACCAGTAAGCATAAGGGACTAATATAACAAATTACCTTCGGTAACCTATCAGCATGCATATGGGACATTATATATCATGATTACACATTTTGTAGACTATATGCATGTGTAGACTACCTAATTTAACAAATCTATGCATCTATCAATATGCTTACAGGAACTAGTATAGCAAAATCACACATTTGGTAAACAATCTATATACATACAGGAACTAATATAAACACTCAACATTTACAGACAGATATAAACAACTGGCATTATTTAATCTATTTTAGCTTTTGTACTTTTAGGTACTCTACATGTAAAAAAATTATTGCTAAAAATTATTTCCTTTTGGTATTTAAAAAATCTTTTTAGTAAATGGAATGTAAAACATTAATTTTAATATAGATAATATTTTCTACTTTTGAATTTAAAGATAAATATTATTTTGTCTTTGTGTCCATTTCTCTCATGCAAACTTGTTTGACCAGAAGTATGCTGCTTTTTTTCTTTACCGTGTAAACCAAAACTTATATCTTCCTTGAAAGCTTACTGAAAGAAGATCATTTTGATTTTGGTTTCTTAACATCCTGCTACTTGAAAAAATATTAAAGTTACAATTTAAAATACAATCATAATGATAAATAAATATTTTGTGCTGGACACGTGACAGCAAATTATGTTGCTCATGTAAAGAGTAAATGAAATCAACTAATGTCTGTTTCTAATTTATATAATTTTATATCTGAACATCTCATTTAGAAATAAAATCATGCTACCAAATATCAGCCTTAAAAGAAGATCTTAAAAATAAATAAAATCAAATTTTGTCATCAGCTTGTTTTAATTTTCATTTTCTTTAATTTTTCTTTTAATTATATCTTCTTAATTTTTGTTTATAACCCTTCTTACCTGTTTTTCGCCTTTTTTTTTCAATTTTTTTTTTTATTTTTTTAATATCTTTTACAGGTGTTTTCGTGTTTTTTGTTTCCAAATTTGTATTGTATATTTGTTTAAGTTTTTTTTCTAACTGTTTTTTTTTTTTTTTTTCTTTTTTGTCTATTTGTCCATTTATTTGTCCATTTATTTTGTTCTAACGTTTGTATTGTTTTTTTTTCTATTGTTTTATTTGTTTTGGCGTCAGCCATCTTGTATTTTTGACTAGCTTTGTTTGTATTGTTTTTTTTATATTTTCGTATTTTCTTTGTTTTTCCATTTTTTGTCTAGCGTTTTCGTTTTTTTTTCATTTTTTCTATTGTTTTTTGTTTTTTTTGTTTTTTTATTTTTTTTTTGATATTTTCGTATTTTCTTTTTTTTCTTTTTTTGTTTTCGTTCTTTTGTTTTTTTTTTTTAAATTTTTTTTTTTGTTTTTATATTTTATTTTTTTTTTTTTTTTTTTGTTTAGGGTTTTCGTTTTTTTTTATTTAGTTTTTTCTTTTTTTTTGTTTATTTTTTTTTTTTTATTTTTTGTGATTTTTTTAACTTTAATTTTTATTTTTGTTTGTTTTTTTTTTTGTACTTTTTAATATTTTTTTTTGTTTTTTTTAATTATTTTCCCTTTTTTTTTATTTATTTTTTCCCTTTTCCCTTTTAATATTTAAAAAATGGAAAAGAAGGAAAAAAAAGCACCTTCTTTTTAATAATCAAAAAAAAAAATAATTTGTCGGACTATAGGAAAAGTCTATAAGAAAGCATTTGTTCAACCCCCAAAAAAAGACCCCCAGATAAAGACAGTTTGAATGAATATCCAGCCCTTGATTCCTATTTCCTCTAATGAGGATGACATGCTGGGAAAAAAAGAAAATTGGAAGTATCTAATGGTATGGAGGCCAATAATGGCAAAAACAAAAAAAATAAAAAAATAAGGTAAGGAGGCCAATAATGGCAAAAAATAAATAAGGGCCAAAAAACTCGAAATAAAAAATAAGGATGTCTAATAATGGCCATAATCTCAAAATGGCATGGATGCCAAGATAAGACTGAGGCTAAGGGGGGAATCGCCCTCTTGTTGGTCGTCCCCACCAAAATGTATAATCAATTTAGTGGAGTTCTTGGAGCGTGCTAAGAGTTACGCTCACCTTGTCGTAGAAGGTGGACTCTTAGAAGACCCCAAGAATTACTAAAAATTGAGAAAAGAATAGTGTCAGTTTTCGTCGTCGACAAGCGTACGCGCAAAATTTGTCGCTCGACGAAAAACACAGTGTTGAAAACACTGGAGTCCTTGGGGTTTAAGCCCCTCAGAATAGTTAAGGGTGCTAAATTTTTCATGTGGGACGTACTGTTACCCACGCCAGAAGACTGCGTTGCCGCGGCCATGCAAAGAGCTAATAACCAAAAGAGTTGATTCTAAGAACAGAATACGAAGGCCGAAGAAAGACCAGTGTAGCAGTATATGAGGTCCCTCCTCAGGTTAAAGAACACCTGGCGGCTTTTTATCCCAGTACGGTGAAATTCTGGGCGCTTCCTGTGATAGCCTGAGCGGGGGATGGAGCTTTGATATTATGCTGGACGAAAAGCCTTCCGCTCCATCCCCAACTGTCTGGATGTTGGAAGCTTGAAGTTACCGGTCATTGTAACGGGCCGAAGACCGGTATGCTGGAGGTGTGGAGTGACTGGTCACCTCTCCTCCTCCTGCCCAGAGAAGAAGGCCTCTGGTAGTCAAGCTCCAGTAGACCAAGATCCCCTCTGACCGCGTCTGTACCTTCCGCCTCGCCTGTAATGGGCATACCAGCTTCCGGGACTGGGTCGGTTAATCCTCCGGTTGGTGCAACATCAAAGGCCACATTCCCCAAAGAGCCTTCGCCCGCTGCTAGTGCAGTTGTGGAGAAGGGGAAAGGGGGAATGGCTGGTAGCTGGTAGGGCCAGAGGGAAGCACCGGACAGCGGGTCCTCAGTCCCCTGAAGCCCCAAGGAAGGACAGAAAGGCACTAACAGCCCCACTCCCCTGGCAACGTTAAGGGCGATGCCCCGGCCTCTCAACTAAACTTTAAAGGAAAAACAAAAAAGTTTGATCCTGGCTTTGAAAAAAAAGACTGAAAAAAAAAAAAGAAATTAGATGAAAAAAAATTGGACCCCCCAAAAGAAAAATTCAACTGTCCCATTCCTTCAACGTCTTCATCTGTCGGTCCCACCTTCTCCGAAAAAAAAACCTTCCCCTTGATTTCGACCATCCCTTTGCCCAACCTCAAACCCCTCAGTAGAGATCCCAGCCCCTATAGACATAGGTCGTTTTCTTACCCCCCTTCATACTCCCAGCCCCCTTCCCCGTTAAACAAAAATCGACAGACCTATACCCCCGTCAGACCCCCAGTCCTTCCCCCAAAAAAAAAATGCCACCCCCCAAAAAAAAAGGGAAGCCCCAGGATCCGAATCAAAAAGAAAAAAAAAAAAAAAACTCATTTTCAACACGGGGGAGGATGTTTGCAGAATTTCCCGGCTCAGGCGGAAAAAGCCAGGGACTATGGAAACAGAATAAAAGATCTTAAAATATTTGCTATCCATTAAACAGTATGCGGACCTTGATGTTGAAGTTCCTCAGAACTTTCCATTGGCCCAAAGGGTCCTAACTGTAATAAGAACTGGACTTGGGGCTAAACAGATTTGGGCAATGGTGGATGAGGCCATCATGGCGCTTTCAAGATGCCCCCTTACCATTGCAGTCATTGAAAAGAAAAAAATTTAAAAAAAATAAAGCAATTTTGTGCAGGGAGGGTCCCCGTTTTAGTTCACCCATCCCTATATAGGGCATTAAAACTGACATTTCCCTGGGATATCGGCGGAATCTCCCAAGACGGCACCATCAAGACTGAGATGGGCCATGGGTCTATGGGTCTATGGGAGAGGCTGTTGGTATCCTGACTCCGGCCATGTTCAAACCAGTATCACAACCCTAATCTGTTTTCATCATGGCACTCTGGTTAGCTAGTGTAAATGTCCAGGGCCTGTGGTCCGAGTCTCGCAGGGCGAGGCTCTTTCGTGACCTTCAGCGCCTCGGGGTGAATGTGTGTTGTGTGCAAGAGACCCGGTTTTCTTCTCATGACCGTGAGGATATACTGTCTAAGGGGTTCGCCCTTTATTCAGCATGTTTTGATGGTCGTTCGAGGGGTGTCTCTTGGCTAGTGAGCAGGTCTTTGAAGGCTGCATGTACCCTTGTCTTCGCGGATCCGGCGGGCAGACTTTGCGTGCTGGATGTTACCATAAAGGATAAGGTTCTACGTCTCATTGGGGTTTATGCGCCCAATATCCATGCCGAGCGGCCTGCTTTGTTTCGGCAGATCGCGCCGTACTTGACGACATCTCGTCGGGTAGTTTTAGCGGGGGATTGGAATGCCGTCCTTGACCCCGATATAGATCGTATAGGGCAAAAACAGGGTACTAACAACCCGGACGTGAAACCATTTCGGGACTTTATCGATGAGTTTGATCTTGTCGATAAGTTCCGGAATGAACACCCTCGGGAGGTAGCATGGACTTGGACAAATAGTGGCAACTCGGCTCCTGGGACGCTTGCGAGCTACCTCGACCGAGTCTTAGTTAGGAGAGTCGATGTAGGGCTCTTAGGGTGTCCAAGCTTCCACTATATAGTTTATACGGA